CAGACACGCATTATATCCGCTCGCACGCACGAGCGCGAATGAAAATATTCATTGTATTTGCAGGACATTGTCAGTGGCTTCAGTTACATTTGTACAAGTAAGTGAATTTCTTATTAATATCAATAGGGCTATAAGGTTATTCTTTGAACTATTGTAAGGCGTGATTTGACATGAAACGGGACTAGATCTAAAGGTAAGAAAATGACGATACATCTCTCTCTCTCTCTCTCTCTTTCTCTCTCTCTCTCTCTCTCTCTCTCTCTCTCCTCTCCTTACCACCCCTCTACACACACACACACACACACACACACACACACACACACACACACACACACACACACTTACGACCAGCACATCACAGCTTATGGCTATTCATCACGCATTCCTACGAGATAACGAAACTTTTGTAAAAAAAACAACACAAACAATAATAACGCGAACGGCACACCATAAATTAAACCAGCCACAACTCCTGCGATTAATTTAATTTGTTGTAAAGCGGTGTTTTTCGCCATTTTTACTGGAATGCAAATTTCATTTAACTTGATAACTCATAGAAGTTTGTTTTACAACCCCATCGACACAATTAGGATCGTTAAATTGGGAGGCGGGCTATAACCCTGCCTGACAGGGCTAACCCGGGCTAAAAGGGCGGAAGGGGGCAAGTTTAACGTCCCAACAGAAGGACTGAGATACTTGATAAAACGTAATGATTATTCTATCCTCTCGGGAATCGAACCCCGTGAAGTAGTTAACCTCTACACAACAGACGCCGGTTTTTAACTTGATACAATTAGTGAGGCGTGCCGAAAAGAATGAGTTACTTCTCGCAATCCACAAATGGTGACATTGGCTAAAAATCGAGGCGGGGGTCAAAATCATTGTAGATTTTCAATTCATGCCATATTCTTTAAGCATATCATAACTTCTATTATTTCTTACTGATAAATTGTAAAAACTTAGTATCAGGAAACCTACGTAAATCTACCAGGACATGGGTGGTCTTCTCTTATGCCAACACTTCATAACCGGCACAGAGAAGAGAAGCCATGGTAAAAATAAACCTGGCATTTCTGAGACACTTTACCTGGCACTGCAGAGAAAAGAATGATAAATCGCTACCTCAGGATTACAAAGTTCTATCTGACATTTTTGGCCTCTTCGAGTTATTAAGACCACGAGGTCAGAAAGCAAATGCCCATACATGTACCTGCTCTATCAAAATCGTAAGAATATTCGGAGTTGTAGTCAAGATTGTCAAAGAATTGCCTGCGAAAAAGCTTGACATATTGTGAAACTAAAATATTTTGATGTCAAATTTCTCAAAAGTAGCTATTGGGCAGATAGAACGTTGTAATTCTGAGGCAGCAAAATGCCATCATTTCGACTGCTTGGTGTAAGACTGCACCACATGCCATAGTAAAAAGTGACGTATGACGGAGCCTCACACTGTGCATTTGATTTTAACTTGAATAACTTTAAGGTGCTCTCGTGGTTGAGAAGTTACGGTGTTTGCCTCTCATTCAGTACGTCCCGGGTTCGAACCCGGACAGCGACGGGAACATTTACTTCTCTAAAATGTTCTCCTTTCACCTCCTTTACTGCGTTCTAACAATGTTCTGTCGTCTGCTTTCTTTTCCACTTTCTGCCCTTACCCCCTCACTTTCTCTGGGCTCCTGACTTTTATGCAGCCTTTCTACTGCTAGTCCTTGACTCCTTCTTACTGATGTCTTTCAGCCACACCTCTGGTCTTATGGTAGGTAAGATCTAACACCTAGCCTTCGCGGATAAGGGCAAGAAAGCTCGGAGGTCCGTTGTGCAAGCTGAGCACCTTAAAGGTCCGTTGGTGATCCAAAATTGATCAGAGTAGGTTTCAGCCGCCACCCGGGGAAACTTCAAAATTTCCTAACAGCTGAAAATGTTTAATGTATCCCACGCGCTCATATGAGCTTAATGTGCAGTTTACAGCTACGTAAAACACTTACCCTAAAAAGGACGTGGG